CTAATCTTTATGATTTCTTCTCGTCTTTGGGCTCTGGGTTTGGTTTGCTCTTCCTTTTCTAAATGTCAAAGGTGCAGCATTAGGGTGTTGATTTGTTCCCGTTCTGTTTTCCTAATGTGTGAGTTCACAGCTATGAATTTCCCTCTGAGAACTGCTTTCATCGCATCCCACAAATTACGGTAAGTGCTTGAATTTTCATTGAATTGTAGATATTGTTGAATTTCTTGTTTAATTTCATCTGTAACCCATTGATTGCTGAGTATGGTGTTGTTTAATTTCTATGTATTTGGCGGGTTTTTCCGGTATCTTTTGTTATTTATTTCCAGTTTCATTGCATTGTGGTCAGGTAATATGCATGGAATAATTTCTGTTTTGTTGCATATACTTAAGCATGACCTGTGTACTAGAATGTGATCTATTTTAGAAAATGATCCGTGTGCGCTGAAAAAAATGTGTATTCCACTGTGGTTGGGTGGAACACTCTGTGTATGTCTACCAAGCCCATTTGATCCAAGATCTGGTTCAGTTGTGCTACTTCTTTGCTAATTTTTGGTCTGGTTGATCTATCTATTTGGGATAAGGTGTTAAGGTCTCCTGTTAGGATTGTTGTATTGGATATTAGATTTTTCATGTCTATTAAAGTTTGTCTTATATAGTTGGGTGCTCCTGTGTTTGGTGCATACATATTTATGATTGTTATTTCTTCCTCCTGAATTTTTCCTCTAACTAGTACATAGTGGCCTTCTTTATTTCATTTGATCATTCTTGGTTTGAAGTTGAGACTGTCTGAGAATAGGATTGCTACTCCTGCTTTTTTCTGAAATGCTGGGGCATGTAGTGTTTTCCATCCTTTGACTTTCAGCCTGTGAGTTTCTTTATGGGTTAAATGTGTTTCTTTTATGCAACATATTGCTAGGTTTTGTTTCATAATCCACTGTGCCAATCTATTTCTCTTAATTGGTGAATTGAGTCCATTTACATTGATGGTTATTATGTAGATGTGTTGACTTATGATTGACATGTTATTTGAACGCTGTTTTAAAACTGTTTTTTCTCCTGTGTTTAATTGTTTGTCTTGTTTAATGGGTTTCTTCTGTTCTCGTTGGTGGAGTTCTGATCATTTTGGTCCTTCTCTAGAATATCTTTCAGTAATTTGTGTAGGGTTGGTTTTGCCATCATGAAATTCTTTAGTTGTTCTTTGTCATGAAA